TGTTAACGAGTCTTTTTTTGAAATTATTTATGTATATGTTCTCAAATCGTAATTGATGACCTCAATTTTTGCATACATTCTAAAAAAATATAAAAATTTTGAAACTATAAGATTATGGAAATACACTCGTGTATACATAAAGACGGACGGTATCAAGAACATGTTCGAAAGAGTCAATACTTTCTGCAGATTGTGAAATGCCGTTCTGAAGAATGTTGTGGAGAATTTAGAAGTGGATTACTTCAAATTCTTCCTGGTAGATTATTTCCTCCTCCTACTCCTCCAATACGTGTTGTTCAGGGTGTCTGTGAAATAGTTGGTCATAGCTATGTAAGTCTGATGAAGAATATTTGTATAATCTTTATGGGGTCGGAGGGAGGGTTGGGATCACTTCTCGCTGTTTTGGTGGCTCACAGCTTATTTCAGCCTAAATGCTTATAACTTAAAAAAAACTGTGAAACTATACTTCAAAAATATTGAAACGCAGCTTATCGGACACATGATGTATTTATATGGATTTGTCAATTAAAACTAAAAAAAGTGAAAAGAAAATTGAAATCTGAAGACTCAGTATAATATACTATATCTTGGCCTATATCTTCTAAGCGTGTGTTTAGAATTTGCACGGAGATACAACCTTCAAGAATGATAAAAATGGATATAGACCTCAAATGCTTTTGTGGCCTAAACACAAAATATTTTACTTCTGTTTCGATCCCACATTTTTACGATTAATATGTATTTTATGAATAATATTATATGTGTTTAAGGCTATTAGGGTCATAAATGTTAAGGACTCCTATATAAGTTGTCAGATATCTACACAATAAACTTTTAGTTGTTCAATAAAAATGTCACTCTTTATACGAGCAGTTCAGTCCAAATTCGAAACTTCATTTTAAAATTGTATTCAGCTCAAAAACCCCACACTCCTGAAATTTTTGCTGGCAAGGGCTACGGAGGTAAAGTCATGAATACAAAATGTGCGGCAGCTTTGGTTATGCGGCTCAGTTGGCCTGTTTTGGTCTTTTCATTTTGGAAGCACCCCACAAACCTCTGCACAGCTCTCACACATGGCGAAACTCATTTCATGGGTCATGAGCCGCAATCATCTCAGTGGTATATGGTAGAGTGAAAGATGGACAAAAATTGATTATGGCGACACCGCAGTGCGAGGAAAAAACCTGCAAGCCTTGCAAAGGGAGAGCACAGCAGCCTAACTATCATCAAAATCCTATTAGTTGGATATCTCACCACGACTAGCACTCCTGTCTTTGTCCTTGTCCAGTTGCCTGCATTTTGTCAGCGTTTATTTGGCAAATTAATTCCCAAAAAGGTAAGCCAAACTTGCGATTTGAAACAATCAGCGACCTACCTCCCAGCCCAATCCATGTTGGGCAACTTCATAGCCCTTTTGTCCTTTTTGCAGCTGTAGCTGTTTTTGCCCCAAAAGCAATAAGGGACAGAAGGGCCAGGAAAGTCCAGAGGCAGCATCCTGGCCAAAGGGGTTGGCTGGCTTACTGGCTCTAGGACCCCTGCGGAAAGTACAATGGCTACGCTGGTTTCGCCGTCATGGCACTGTAAGGAACGATGTAGAACTTCTTTTTATTTATGAAAAATATTTGGAAAATTAAAAGAGAGCATATCTTAATATGAAATATAAAACAATGCTTTGAAAGGTAATGATTAAAATAGAAATAATAATTATTATATATATATTATAAATTCAATTCTATTCTATTGGCTATTTTATATTTAGCAGATGGACGATTGCATTCATTTTAATTATATAAATTGAATTGGTTAGTACATATTTTTTACTTTTAAGGGAAATTTGGGAGAGAATATTTTGTTGAGTGTAGTCAAAAAGCATAGCCCGGACACACAATTTGTGACAATTCCTTTTTGCGGATTAATATTTGCTCTGTCCGTTCCTGGGAATCCTCTCACTGGTTACGCTTTTATTTGTCTCGCTGCCCTTTTCCGGTTTTCCCCCACTTCATGCAAATTAACTTGCATAGAAATTTTGTGGGGTATGCTAGATGGGAAGCCCGCTTTTGGAAGGGAATTAAAGCTTGGTTTAAAATTGCATTATGAGTTTTTTACGGACTCCCTAAGCGCCCAATGAATTCTTTCCCCAAAAACCTCTGCTCCCAAATTATAATTATTACATATTATGACGTGATTATGTTTTAAGGACTTAATTTAACTTCAGAAGTTCTCATACACAAAATTTCATATGTAAATTTCATTTAAAATATAATCTTGCTGTTTTATACTTCTTACTGTTCTCATAACAACTTTCCTTTTGGAGAGTTTTCCGCATGATGAAAATTAGAATGGAAAATTAGTTCTAAAATGAGGACTACAAATTTTTTACATGCTACTATTTCTCGTTTTCATCTATAATATAACATCCTTTTTCACACACACATGCAATTTTTACTAGTAAAGTACAAGGGTATATTGTATTCGTGTGAATGTATGTAACACAGAGAAGGAATATCTCCGACCCCAAGAATATAATATATATTCTGGTTCAGCATCAACTCTTGATCAATTTTATATGTGGAAAAATCGTAAGTTTGCGACCCGTACGTTTGCGACCCGTACTTAATTTAAGTTGAAACAAGAAAGGAAAGCTAACTTCGGCCGGAGCCGAAGTTTATATACCCTTGCAATTAAAACTGGATATATATCGCAAACATCGGATATAGTTGGCCGATCCTTATGGGAATATGAATATATAATCCAATTTATTACAATACAAAATCTAAAAAAAATCCCAAACTTCTATCTTCAAACATACCAAAGTTGGTATTTCTACCAAAAACCATTTCCAATAGTTCAGTTATATGGCAGCTATAAGATATAGTCGGCCGATCCTTATGAAATTTGGCGTGTCGTAATGTGTTGCCAAAAATAGCTCTTATGTCAAATTTGAACTCTCTAACTCTAAAAACACCAAAGTTATACCATTTCCGATCAATCAGTTATATGGCAGCTATAGGATATAGTCGGCCGATCCCGTCCGTTCCGACTTATATACTGCGTGCAAAGGAAAGAAGGGTGTGTGCAAAGTTTCATGTTTAACTTTGAAACTGAGAGACTAGTTTGCGAGAAACAGACAGACGGACAGACGGTCAGACGGACAGACGGACATGCTCATATCAACTCAGGAGGTGATCCTGATCAAGAATATATATACTTTATAGGGTCGGAGATGTCTCCTTCACTGCGTTGCACACTTTTGGACAAAATTATAATACCCTCTGCAAGGGTATAAAAATATCAGAAAATGTTTTTTTTTTCTTTAATTTTTTGACACTAATTGCGTGCGAACGTACGTACGTTCGTAAGCTAGACTGCTTACATTTTCACTTTATTAAAAAGACAACACAAGTTTTTTACACACTTCACATACACAAACACATAATAAAAACCACATTGAAAAGTATTCATTTCAAAACTTTTGATTTTGTCCATAAAATTTTCAGTATTCGCGTTATTAAAATCGCACCAAAAAATCTTAAATTCTAAGCTCATGTAAATGTTAACATTAACAGCTGTTTTTAACAGCTTATTTTTTCGCAGTGGCGCCATCTATGGAAATTTCTGGTACGCAACATTAAAAATTAATCTATTGTGAATGATATGCAGTTAAAATTATTTATATTCTTTAACTTTCAAAAAATGGTTTTTGGCCAGAAAAAGTGGTCAAATTTCCTATAGTGCGTACGTTCGCGACCCCAAGAATAGCCCATATACATACATATATACATAATTGTACATATATACAATTTCCCATACAAACGGGTTAAAATTTTGAACGCGTGGATCTCAAAAACTATAAGAGATAGAACTATCCAATTTGGTCGTATGCTTTCCGCACAGATCAAGTTTGTGTCATAAGGTTATTCACGCCGACTACATGCCACACTTCAGCCAAATCGAAAAAATGTTGGATGAGTTAAAGACTTTTTATTCTGTTTCCGTTCTGAATCGGTGGTATGGGCTGAGTGGGCTGCAGTCGTTGTCGTGGCCAAGCGCAAAAGTATGCAACAAAAGTTTGATGCTGAGCATCCATACCGTTAAGGTTTAAACTTTAAGGGTTAGTTAAATTGTGGGTAGAAGAGATGAGTACCGGGTTAAATATAGTCGAGAAACTCGACTATAGCCGTCCTTTATTAATTTTTTTAAAATTACATACGTATTCCTTAAAGAAAATAGTTGTTACTTTACATACAAGATACTTTAAAAGTAATGCGTAACTAGGCCTGCGTAACATGGAAATTGTTAAAAATGCATTACGTTTTTGTTCCGCTGTGTATTTAATCCCACGTATAACGCTAATACCCGTTGATGTATCAATGTTAAGGCTTCCTTAAATTCTTTTTGAAGAGAGCGTGGTACGAAACTGACATTCCCAAAAAGTTTATCAAACCATATAACTAACATCGACATTACTATATTAATTGGTCAATTTAAAATAACAGTAAGATCCATTTCTATTATTGTTTTAGTAAATCAGAAACTACAAGAACTTTTCACAATATACACCGCAGCTACCCAAGTCATCTTTTGAAAAACCTAATAATGCCTAATGTTTATCCAACTCGTGTGGCAACAAAATTACCTGATAGTGCAGTAGTCAAACCAACTCCGATCAGCTATTGTAAAATTTTGCTTGGCTTCGCTCGTCGAGTTGTCCGCCTCAAAAGCCATCGATGTCGAAACACAAGTGGCTTGCACTGGCTGCAACAGTCACATGCAAGCACTCAGCTGTGGGCCACTGTTCTCTTAATGCCAGGCACTTGTCCGACTGGTCAGTTGCAAAATTTTCGCAAGCCACTCAAATCAAGTTTTCCCACCAATAGCTGCCGAAAATTTTGAAATCTTGGATTTTCATTCAGTTTTGAAGTGCTTCCCATTGATGTCGGTCGATATTGAAAAGACGTTGGTAGTTCCGATAAAATAGACGGCTTACTGAGAGAATCACTATGCTAAGTATTATGAGGGTGATCTTGTCATGGATTGTGTTGCTTGTGGCATTGGCATCAAGTGCAGTTCGAGGAGACGATGGATTTTTGACAGAGCCGCGTAAGTTCCGCCTGCAGGAAACCCAACTCAATGCGGTGAATGTGAATAGTTTTAAGACGTAACTAACATAGGCTAAACATAGGTCATGTACATATGTTTCACCACTAAACAGAATTTCTTCCTCTGTACTTTCTGTTTGTAATTTATGCTTTGCCTTGCACTCGAAATGAACCAAATCGCACCAAACTGTTATGAACCGAACTGAACTGAAATAAAATTCTACTCGAACCGCAGCAGATTACATTAAAGAGTGTAGGATAGCGGAGAAGGATTTTGTGAACTGCTCAACCCACAGCATCCAGCAGCTCTTCGACAAGCTCAACGACGGTGAGAGCCTTGTCCCATGAAACCTATTGTTTACTGACCCAATAACACATCTGCAGGAATACCCGGGCTGACGAGCATCAAGAGCTTCGATCCCTTTTTCCTGCATCGTATCCGGATCTCCCAGGGCAACAGCAATGCGATCAACCTCAAAGTGGAGTTGGCCAACGTTAAAATTACTGGATTCGGACACACGAACGTATTAGAGAGCCAGTAAGTTAGACTTTAATTTCAGGACTATCGGCAAGCTTAACCAATATATGACTTTTAGGGTCTTTAAGAAGGACTACAGCTGGAAGACCATTTTCACCCTGCCTCAGATGAAGCTCCAAGGAAACTACAGCCTCTTTGGCCGTATCCTTCTCATTCCGCTGAACGGGCGGGGACAGGTGTTCCTAGACGCGGAAAACATGACTGTGACGATGCACACGAAGACCCGACTCTACTCCAAGGGCGGGTTTACGTTTTACAATGTGACCAATTTACGAGTAGACTTCAAAATGGACGGCCTCAAGTCGTATTTCTCAAACCTCTTTAACGGGAACAAACAGTTGGGTAGGAATATTCACCAATGCCTCACAGCATTTCTCACTGACTGATCTTTGATTTTTTAGAGGACAGCACCAATAAATTTTTTAACGACAATTGGCGCATGCTGGCGGACGCCTTGTACACAGTCATCACCCAGACTATCGAGGACATTCTACTAGATGTCCTGAAGAAAATATTCCATTTCATTCCGGCCAACTATTTTGTCAGCGATATTCCAACCCCGGAGCAGCTGTACGGAAAGGTGGCCCCTAAGCCCAAATAAAGCGCTTCCTTAGAAAAATAGTGATTGAGGTAGACAAAAAAGTAATGCTGAATTTCAGCCAATAAAGTTTAAGGGTCCTCTTAAAGCGAGCTCTACACATGCCCAGACACTAAGGGCCTTCCGGAGACGAAGACACTTTTTAGCTCCCGCATTAGTGTCGTTCAACTGTAGCCTTAGCAAAAACTAATGGCGGCACCTCAGGACGACCAGTGTCCAGCCCGGCCGACCCTCCTCAAAAAAACATATATCAGGATAGACGTCAACACAGGGACAGGCAGGACACAGGCTCCGACAAAAATGCACTGCAATTGCATTTAGCGCAATGAAGTCATTAGGCGAAATAAAAGGAACGGGGTGGCTGTTGGCTGTTGAGGGTAACCGCAAAGTCAAAACCGGAACCGGAAATACGGGGAGAGCCGCGTGTTCGAATTAATTGCTGCCAAATCAGACCCAAGCCCCAAATAAATTCCCGTTTTTTACGAACGCTTTTTCTTCTCGGCAATTGGGCTCAAAACCTCCCAATAATATGTTGCAGCTGCAGTTGCTGCTGTACTTGCAGAGGCTGCAGCCGCAATTAAAACGTTTGTCGCTGCGGCAGCCATTACAAATGCCAAACAATTAGTTTAAATTTAATGCGCAGTGCGTTTGGCCTGTTAGATGCAAACATTTTGCGGTCTGTGGTTTTACGCTTCGCGCTCTCTTCCTGGGACCGATACATTTTTTCCAGAATGCAAGACTGCCAAAGACTAAGCGACAAATCCCGTGCGTGATTGCAATAAATTTGCCAGCTTCCGTTCCAAAAGCAAGACTGAGTTTGCACATAAGATAAACAAATAACATCACGAACCGACGGAAAAGGGTTGAGTCCCGCCAGTTCACAACCCTGCTCTGACGAAGTTGCAAAAAACAAAAGTCAAATAAACGGGCAAAAACTATTGGGACGTGGAGACCGCAGATCCTAGCGCGCAAGTGGCTGCGAGAGTATTTCAATATTCCCCGCAAATATTGTTCAATATTTGCTGTGACGGCTGAGAATGGGTTCCAGCACCAAACGCCCACGAGTTCACTGGGTTCATGCCTTAGCATGAATCTTATGTCAACTTGGCCCAAAAGTATGCAGACTTTTTAAATAAGCGGCCCAAATGTAGGCATATAACAAAAATTATTCGAAATCATTTCGCTTTGACAACATGATTAACAGCGTAGTAACTATGTAAATATTGCATTGGTATTTTCTTTTAATGGCTTAAAAAAAAATCACTACAAAAATTTTAAATTTAAGAATTTGAAACAAAATATTGTATATAATTTGTAAAATAGAATATTAAAAAAAGTTACTGGTACTTTTTTATAGTTTCTTTATTCATGACAAGAATGGAAAGCTAATTTTAGGCAGAATTTACACCCGTGCAGTTTTATTGGCGTTTTAATTGCAAATTCATGAGGTTCGCCTATCCTTATACAAATGTGCGACTATTATTGACTCTACAGTTTGCAGTCTAGAGTTGGTTTACTCTATATAATTACCATATAAAACATACAGAAAATCATGTAAAGGAAAGCTTAAATTGAGAGGGTCCAAAGTTGATATACTCTTGCAGTTACTCGGATATACATCCCATTGGATATACATATCGGATATAGGTGGACAAATTTTTTAGACCAATTTCTTATAATAAATATCTAAAAATACCAAAGTTGGGTGATATCCGATCGTTCAGTTATGTATATGGCAGCTATAAAAAATATATCCGATCCCTATGAAATTGAATGGTCGCATTTATTAAATCAAAAATAGATTCCATAGACAATGGAATCTCTAGATTAGAAACACCAAAGGTATCACATTTTCCATCAATCCGTTATATCCATAAGATATATTCGACCGATCCTTCAAATAAAAATTGGTAGGTCAATTGAATTACAGCGCTGCACAATTAAGGATGACTACATTAACAGCAGAAATGCCCGTTAAGGATTTGAAGGGTCAATCAAATTTGTTTTCATTATCATAGAAATAAATAATATAAAAAAATAATGGTTATATAAAAATAAAAATATAATGGTTATAGAACAGTATTTAAAGATTTCTATACCTCGATTAACAATTATTTTCTGTTTAATTTAGAGGAACAATGTTTGTCGGTCCTTGCACTCGCACATGCTCCGAATCCGACCAGCTCTCCGTATCCACTCCACCTGGGGAAGGTGGGCGGGTGGTGTCTATTTAATTACGAATGTCGTTGTCGCCGCAATCCGTGTCCTGTGCAGCGGCAACTGCAATTAACGCGTTTGGCCTTTGGACCTGGCTCATGTGGGCAGTGGGACCTGTGGGCAGTAAAATGCAGGATGTTTCACAGTCGTGACGTCATATCAAAACGGCATGCTAGGGTGGATTCCGGGCTTTACTTTTAATGGGGGCGGAGTTCGTGGCTGAGCGATTATTTTACGCTCAATTATTGTTAAATATTTAACAAAATGCGAATATTTATTTTAACATTGGAAATTGGCTCGGTCGGAGCTGGTGTCATGTCTGCGCATCGGGTTGCCGGACAGTGTCCTAATGAGATTGCTATTATTCGATCATAAATTCGTATAATTTGAGCTTTAAAGCTTATGCACTGCCGTGTGGCACATTTTTACTTTGTTGTCACTGTTTTCGCAGTTGGTGGTGAGCAGGACTTTGTAGGGCTTGTCTTCGGGGCAGTGGCAGCATTTAATTTGAAATTATGTATTCATTAATTGGCCATGAGCATATATGTACGTTTTTCACATTATAATTAAATAGAAAGGAAAAAAACCATACTATTGTGTACCCCGGAAAATTAAAGGACAAGTTTACACCATATTCATGCATAGTGCCTGACCGAATTGTTTTAAGCGTTGTGGTAAAATTCTTCCTAGAATATCAATAAAAAAATGGTAATTAATTTTTTTACTTTCGTACCTTGTTAAATCATTGGATTCCATAAATACATACATATAACGAATTAATCCTTTTATTTATTTAATTCATTTGAACTTTTTACATGGCAATTTTGATGTTTATTTTTAGTTTTTTAGAAAATTTGTGTTTTTGGGGAAAAAACATATATAAGATGAATGTTTCTAAATGACATTAAAATATTTTTTTGCAAATATAACGCCATTTATTAAGGTATGATGCAGATATGCATCACCACCATTTGAAGCGTATTGAAAATTAAAGTTTTTCTTTTTTTTTAAATTATTTAAAAAAAAATTAAACTAAAAAAAAATAAATAAGCATTCCCACTTCTTTGCAAATCCAAATATACATATACATACATATATGTATATAATATATGGTGCGATTATTCCATAAATAAATTTCAAGCTTTTGGACAATATATGTACATACTATATAGTCTTGACAATATCTTTTTGGTTCTAGTTTAAGTGAATTAAGTTTTTTGGCGGTATTAAATAATTAATTATTTTGTTAATATTTTTCAAATTTTACTTTATGCATATCCGATTGTATTTTTCTTTAGACGCTGCGCAGACATATTTACATTTGTAAATAACACCAATCCCAAAAGGAACTCGCACCGCCACATTTTCTTTAATATTGTAAAAGTGTTCAGATTATTTTGGTAAATTTGTTGACATTCCGTGCCGACTTGCGAACGGAATAAACAATCATGCAACGACTTCCGGCGTAATAGGAGATTCTGAAGTCAATGGCATTGTAACTTTTTAATAGATTTTACTTACACCTGCGAAGATGCTTCGGAAGCAGCGACACAACGAAAGTCCGCCCCTGTGCTGGCCACGCCCCATAAGGATTTCACAGAATAAGCAATATGCTAAATTTTCAGAATGTCAAAGGCAGAGCCTCAAACAATAAAAGTGGATTTCCACCTACCAAAGAATTATTCCAAAAAAAAGTTAACAACAGAGGAAAGCTAACTTCGGGCGGAGCCGAAGTTGATATACCCTTGCAGTTAACACCGGATATACATATATCGCAAACATCGGATATAGTTGGCCAATCCTTATGAGAATATTATAATATGAACAATAATATAACCCATAGCCTAAGTTTCTATCCTCAAAAATACCATAGTTGGTATTTTTTCCAAATACCGAATACCATTTCCGATCTTTCAGTTATATGGCAGCTATAAGTTATAGTCGTCCGATCGTTATGAAATTTGGTAGGTCAGATAAACTGACCGTATTATTGACGTATTATTATTTTGCCAAAAATAGAAACATAGGAAATCCGAACTCTCTAACTCCAAAAACACCAAAGTTATAACATTTCCAATTCATCAGGTATATGGCAGCTATAGGATATAGTCGGCCGATCCCGACCGTTCCGACTTACATATATACTGCGTGCAAAGGAAAGAAGGGTATGTGCAAAGCTTCAAGTCGATAGCTTTAGAGACTAGCTCGCGTAGAAGCAGACAGAAGGATAGACAGACATGTTTGTATCAACTAATCCCAATTAGGAATATATGTACATACATATATACTTTTTAAGGTCGGAGATGTCCCCTTCACTGCGTTGCACACTTTTGGACAAAATTATAATACCCTCTGCAAGGGTATAAAAATACACAAATCGAGCAAATGCTGAAGGGCTGGCGTATTTTAAAGATATCGAAATGACGGTAAACTAGTACTAGGGGAAAAATGGCTAGGAATGGATATGGAAAAATAGAGCTTGAATTTATGTAAAATTTTCAGCATTTGGAATTTGAATCTGGATCTCCGGCGCCGGAGGCAAAGAAAAGTGTAAATCCATGAACATGAACGAATAAATTTCCCCAACTTCAAAAATGTTTACACGCAACTCAACGCCTACATCCATTGCTAGTCCCCAAGGAAATGGTTCACCCTAGTTAACCGTGTGTCGTCGTTTTGTATGCGAAAAATATAAAATTTACTGCAAAACGCTCCAGAGTGCATATATTAAGCTCAGTAGATTTTATTGATCGCTCCTTATAAAATTTTTTATTATAAGATTATAAGAAAAAGTTTTGGAAGAAAGAAAGCTTTTATTTAAGTTTGTAACTCGTAGCCAAAGTGGAAAAATGTTTTTTGTACCATTTGTCTGTTTACCGATTGTCTGTCAGGTCCTCGTCCTCTCTCTATTTTCTCCTCAAATAATTTTACAGCCATACTATCTAATAAGTATTCATATTCCCCGGTGACTGTTTCTTCCTTATGAAATTAATATAATGGCTGTAGATGTAATAATAAAAATGTTGTAAAGTATTCGAGTTTTTATTTACATAATCGAATTTAATGAAAAAACTGCTCCAAACATTGAACCCAACCACGGCTATTAAAATTCATGCAGTAAGACCCTATACATACATACATAGTATGTATTACATACATATGTATTACATACTATAAGCGCACAAACTCTGAAAACTATAAATATAGTTTAACACAATTTCGCCTTTCGTCCAATTTGTATTCCATTTGTACGCGACGAGAAGTTGTGATTTCGTTGGCCAATCTCAATTTGGCAAATGCGGCTCCCCTCATGATTTTCTACGTTTTTTTCAAAAATAATTTAACATTTAAAAAGCGTCTTCACGTTAAATGACAATCATCCAATAAAAAAACATTTTGTTCTTGGGCAATGGATATAGAAATTTTGCACAAGCCTTTCTTTTGAATGTCTAGTTCAAAGGTAGGAGTGGTCTTTCATCATAACTAACAACCCTTGCTCAATACGCAACCACTCACATGCCGCTCATCAATATTCTATTCTTTTCTTTCGATTGATTAACATTTCGATTCCGACTTGGTCGGAATTTGGTCTTGATCTGGTCTTTGGGTTGCCCGACGCATTTTATTATATAAGCGGGTAATTCCTTTTCAAATATAATAAGATTCAATTTAAAGAAGTGTTACCTTAACACATGATTCGAATTCGAAGTCCCTTCACACATAAATATTCTTTCTTCTTTTAAACTCAGAAAGCTCTCCTAATAAAAAAGTGATCAATGAAATGAAATATAATATTTAGCTACAAAGTTTTTACTTTTACGTGTCTTTTAGTTTATAATTCAAAGTCTTAATAAATTTAAAGTCCCTTTGCAGCTTTTTGTTTTTTGAATTTTATTACTTTTGCAACACGTTGTTCCGTTTTGCCGCGATATCGGCATGATGGCGGTATGAATCCCTCAAATTTTAATATTCTAAGTTTTGTTCAAATTTGTAATTTTCCACGATCATAAATGAAAGTTGTGCGAAGGACCCATTCTTTTTGTATACCCTGTACTCGAATATTATAAGTCTTATAAATAAGATATTGATATTAAGTAACAGGAACAAGAAAGAAGCAATAAGAAGCGACCCCATAAAATATTCTCGATAGGATTTCGTTAGAATCTGTCTGAAAAAATCCTTTTATTAACTTCAGAAACTCTTCATAAAACTTAAAGGGTATTTCAGGATTCCAAAGTTAGCTTTTCTTTTTATTTTTTTAGGAATCATCTCCGACCCCGTAAAATATATATATTTTTGATCAGCATCAATAGCCGAGTCGATATGGCCATGTCCGTCTGTCCGTACGAACGCGTGGATCTCAGAGACTGTAAGGGATAGAGCTACATATAGGATTGGGCATGGAGACTTCTATAGTGCCTTCGGAACCCATATTTCCAATTTCTCTAGCGCCAGGTTTTTTGAAAATCTTTTGAAGCCAAACTATTTCTATATTTATTATATATCTCAATAACAAATTTCATCCAAATCGGCCGCTTTTAAGAAGAGATTAAAATATTTAACGCTTGGATCTCAAACACTATAAGATAGAGAGCTTTACCATTTGGGACTTAAACACATATGGTATCCGCGCCAATCAAGTTTGTGTCAAATTAGAAATCGCGCCACAACGAGCGCCAGTTCGTTAATGTTTTTTGAAAATGTGAATGAAAATTTACATCTACAAATTCAGCCAAAGCGGATAATTCTTAGAAGAGTTATAGACTTTTTAGTCTGCTTCCCTACTTAATCCGTAGTACAGCCTTAGAGGGTAGTAGTAGATTAGATTTTTAGATTTTTTAGATTTTTTTTTTTTGTCCAAGCGCAAAAGTGTGCAACAAAAAATTGAGAATCGTTAAAGTTTAACCTTCAAAGGTTAGTTAAATCTTGGGTGGAGGATATGAGTACCGGGTTTAATACAGTACAAACTCGATTCAAAACTCGACTATAGCTTTTTCTTCTAATTTATTTCATAATCTAATTCCAAATAGTTTGTTTTAAATAAACCATTAAAAACTTTTTAAATTCCACTAAAAGTATAAGCTGGTGCGTAAAAATATTAACCTGCTAAGGTTATTCTTATTTGGCCAAATTCTGGATTGAGTTGTACTTAAAACAATATAAAAGTTCTGCCGTGTGCGGGAATAAACAGCTATTTGCGCCACTTTCTAAGTCCGTATTTATCATTCAAAGCCCTGACAAGCAATTGAGCAATTAAGATCGCTTCACTTTGCAGGTCTCAAAGAAGCCGCTCTCCTTGAGTTAATTTTCTACACAAGATTTATGGCAGTCGTAGTGAACGCCGCTTAGATATATACCGGGGGTACAAATACAAATACTCGGGGCTGACTCATGGAACTTGACGCTTCTTCAACTGCTGTCAACGACCCTGACCGGAGGTGTGCTATGCATCCTTAATGTTTTGATGTTCATTTCGAGGGACCTGCTGGTAATCGTAGGCCTTTTAGACCCGGATTAGCAATTGTCAATGTTTTTAAAATGCTTGTAACCGAAAAGATTTCCCACGCACTGAATTATGTTACCAATATCGTGAGATTTTAAGGTGGCCAGGCAATACGGCCACTGCAGCCACACCACCACACCAGTCCATTTCAAGACATTTGCAGGCTCCTCCCAGCCCCTCCATTCTCTAAATCAACGTCGTCTGCTGCTCATCAGCAACCTCCTTTGTCACCATTATCGTCAGCGTCGTCATCAATTGCGAAGCCGCTGGCTGCCTGCAGACAGCTTGTCACCGTCGGGTAAACATGGGAATTTCGCAGTCGAGCGGGCAAACACGTGATGGGGCAATGAAAACGTTGAAGGGGCGGATGAGGAGGTGGTGTGCGCGGGTGACAACACGCCTTCGGCCATGAGGCGGCAATCACGACGCCAACCGACTCACAAAGGCAGTTTGCATACTAAAACACAGCGGTCTGAGGAGCACAGCGAAGTTTTATTGGGAGGCCTCCAAAGGATGTCAGCCCAGGCTAAATCTTTTCAGATTGTCGAAGCCCTTGGACTTGTCGACTCGTCCAAAAATGGTGCCTCGGACGATCGTTTCCTTCTTTGGCTTCAAGATGTGAAGACCGAATCGAAACTTGGACTCTGGCAGAAAGCTGGGCAGCGCTTCCTCATCCACCTTGTAGGCGGTCAGGCTAAAGGGCCCTCTTCGAATGGGACACTCCTTAAAAAATCTTCCGTGCTTTAGCAAGTCGTCGTAGATGAGACGCATCAGAGGATCGGAGTTTCGCTGCTTCATCAACTTACAAAAGTTCATTGAGCGGTTAATCAGGGTGGAATAGTTTCCCTTGTCTGTCTCAAGAGCCACGTCAATTGCCATTTCCACGTCATCTATGTCCTCGAGGATCATTATGTCCAGAGTCAGTTTGGCATCGCCTGAGTCGTTTTGAAGCTTCGCCTTGACATCCACGATCTTATCGTTGGCCTCGAACTCAACGTCGGTGAGAATTACCTTAAACGAGCGCTTTTATTCCCGATTAATCATTTCATTAATTGCTCTCAGTCCCGCATCGCTAAGCCAAGCTGAACTCACCCAAGCCCCGCTCAAGGGAACGAACATCACGAGCATCAAGCACATGCCACATAGGCTACGGGTGAGTACTTCACGCATCTTGTTGCAATTATCCACTGGGCACTTTTTCAATTAAGCACTGTTTATATAACTGCAGTCGTTATTAGTCAGGCCCCACTGGACGACAAAGTACTCCGAACATTAGGCGCTGATCCACGATTGATCTGACCAATGGTTCCGAGCGGCCATGCTGAGCTAAGCCAGCTAATTGGATGGACTTTGGCAAATCATTCAAGCATTATATTTTTTTTCGATCCAGTTTTCGATTGAAATCGGGCTCTGAAATTGCCTAAACTAGTACCACTCGAAGCATATAAATAGGGAGCCTGCCGAGGAGAAAGCCAGTGAACGTTGTTCCACCATGTTGCTATATTCTATTCTACTGGTGCAAGTCCTTCTGGCCATATGCCACAGCACCCTGGCCGAAGTGGGTTGCTAAGGAACTTTGATGTATAGAGGGTTTTCTAACTCAACGAATCTCTCCTGCAGAAAATGATGCGACCCAAGTTCAAGGACATAAAGATCTGGAGCGAGGAGAAGATGCTCAGCCATAAGGTAGTGTATGACAACAGCGACCCGCACTTGAACTTCTCTATGGAGGTGCACCAGGAGTTGCACGATGTGGATATTCATCTGGAGGTGCGCATCGCCAACAAGCAGGACTCGATGTATTCCACCACTCTGAACACGACTCTGAATGTTTGCCGCATCCTGGGCTTCGCCAATCAATCACCTGTTGGGCGCTTCGTGCACGGCTTTATCCGCGAGTATGGCAACATAATCGATAACTGCCCCATCGCCAAGGTCAGTAAGACGTCCGGGGAGCACAAGAGGCTCACGGTTTCACCTTACAATCCACCGTTTGGTCCGTTCTAGGGCCGGTTCCATTGGCACCGTATTCACTTACATCGTAAATTACAGGGATCTTACTTCATCAACAAGTTCTGGTGGCCTGAGGACCCGACCACCGCCATCCTGCCTGAGCTCGAGTTCGAGATTATCTGGCAGGCCTTCCACATAGACGCCAGCAAGAAGCGCACCATGGTCATGAATGACCACTTCGGAGGGGAATTCGTCGTCCAGGACGTGAACAACCTCAAGCCGGGCATTTTTGCCATGCTTCCCAAGGTGGCATAGGTTGGCCGGGCCACTCGCCTTGCCCAAGATGAGCATTCCAGCTCAGTCGCGTGTCTCAATGGTGTTAAATGAATGTATTTTGTAGCACTTTAATGTTATCCAGAGCAGGCAAACAAATCTGTCTCAAAAGCAGCAAATTCAAGATGGAATTTTTAATTTTTGTGGTCAGCAGGAACATCAAATTTGCCTTTTCCGCAATCGATGTTTGGCATTTACATATACGGCAAATTGTGATAACATTTTTATTACAGGCATATACATACGTTTTTCTACAGAATTCGATGATTATTATAAGAAGTCACGCCAAGTGATGATAAAATAAGAAACAACCCAAATATTTTGGCAGCAGCAGCCGCTGAATTAGTTTATATTATGTTTATAATAGTTTAATTATTATGCTTAAGTATGGACTTATCGCTTTAGATGGTCGCAAACCGAATCTTGCTCGGCCACTCGACTTCAATGGCCAACGGCCTTAAGAGATCTATCTGCCTATCTATCGGCCTATCTGCCGATCTAACTATCTGTCTATCTGCGGATTTCTTTCCGATCAAGATGTGCCAGTTCCGATCGTTCAGTTATATGGTATGCATCCTTTCGACTGATCCTACCCATTTTGAATTAAATGCTGCTCACAAAACAAGGAGGATGGATATAAAGTCTGGTCAAGAATATATTTTTACCGGCTAAAATTATAATATCTTACGCAAAACTTGCGAAAAGCACATTTAATTGTGATGCATTGTGCCAAACTGCATTCGAACTCACTTTCTTAAACATGAGAAACCCTGTTAAGAGGGTCACGCCAACGGCCCTTTAAGCTCCATTAGACAGGCATATAGTATGACAAAGTGTTTTTCCATGTAAGGAAATTCATTGTTCAGCTTTCCCTTAAGCTTTCTTCGCTCAATGACGCCCTGGAAGGACTGAAAAAAAGTGGCATCCGATGTAGTAAATCCTTAAAAAATGTCCATTCTATTAAAACGTTGGCAAAACATTTATCAAGAAGTTGGCTTTCGTACTATCTAAACAATGAGGGTTGTATGCTGTGGTATGTGCACCAAAAGAAACTTCCCGGTCTTATTTTAAACACATTTTTGTGGACATTTTTACGGAGTAGTTTTATTTCTTTATAGCAAGTAGGTACTAAAAAAAATAGTTTTATAGTGTTTTTCCAAATAATTAAACTTTTTTTTTGACATTTTTATGTTTCCTCTTGAGTGTTTTTACAGCCCGATTAAAAAAACATATTTACACGATAATACGTGTAATAACCCATTTTTATGTAAATAACAATTGAATACAATCAATTGTTGTTTTTTTCGGATTCAATCTCTTTTTAGGAGCTTTCCGGCACAAGCCGTCGATGTACAGAGCTAACACACCAACCCGGTCAAATTTGTGCATTCGGCTAATAAATCTTTAAACAGCTTATTGAATAACGTTGGCTTACACCCTTAGACCAAATAATAGATGTAATCGTATTTTATTGCTACTGTGTTTATTCTTTATTTATTGTTCATTGTACATATAAATTCGTGCGGAGACAAAGTTGATATACCCTTAAAGTTATGGATCGGCGTTTTCGGATCGGAAACGCGGATCATATATGCATATTGCAAATATGGTATTTAACTGACCGATCCATAAAAGAAATTAAGTGTCAAGCTATAACAATATTATAGCTTATGACATAAGCTATAACAAGAGTTATGACATATCCGTACGTTCAGTTAAACATATGACCGCAATAAGATATACAATAGATACATTGTACATACATATACTGCGAGCGGGTATACCTTTGTGGGCGATAGCTTTTAAGTTGAGAGATTAGTCGTGGTATTAAACATGCTTCTATACACTCTGAAGGTACTCAAATACAATTTGCATAATGATCCAGGACAAGAATATACATTTTTATAGCTTTAAAAAACACATGTACACAAGCACTATATTGAATTCTAATTTTATAATACCCAATGGAAAATTACATTTTCTAAATATTTTATATTGTTTTATGCTTTTTAAATGTGAAGTTTATTAAATTTTTATATATTGCAATTTAAAAGTCACACACATTAGGATCTTTAGATTTTTTACAATTTTAATGCGAAAATGTGTTTTTTGTTTGTAAATTCAACAATGATCCCTCAATGGTGAGTGATAAATTTACATGTAATCTTTTTAAAATTCACTGCCTTTGTCCGGACGTTATCCATTACCCCTGCAACTGGCGGATCAACCGACGCTGTCTCTCGAGTAGCTGCTCCATCCTGCGCCTTCGCTTTTCTTGGCGCTGTCTTCTTTCCTGGCGGCGACGGCGCTCCCGAGCTAGTCGTCTGCGGCGGGCACGTCTTCGCCGTTTTGCCTCCGCAGCCGAACTCGCGGAGGACGATGGAGAGGAAGTGGTAGCACTAGAAGAGGAGGAAGTTGTGGTGGTGGCGCTTGACGAGGCTGTGGTGGTGGTGGTGGCCGTGGAGTCGGTGGTGGTTGTACTTGGATCCGCGGTGGAAGAGGCACCCGCCAGGTAGAAGCACCCGACCAACAAAAAGCATAGAGCGATCAAGAAGCGCATTGTGATATGCTCTGTCTGGGATCTGAGCGCACTTTTATACCAAATTATGAACAAAAGCAGACAATTCGTGTTTCCCAAAAATTACCAGATACATATGTTTGGTTTTGATTTCAATTGTTTGAACAGCTTCTGGAACAGCGACATTGAAATTATTAAGTTTAAGTTTCAGTCAATATTTAACTAAAAGGGTAAATAATACAATTTTTATGACCAATCGAAACTACCTTAAGCTTTAGTTGTTGGTTTGTAATCTCCAATATGGGTTTTGTCTTAACTGGGAAGTCTTCATTAAAAATGAATCATTACCTAAGGTAATTTACCTTCAATACAATATAATATACTTCAAAAATCAGCAAACATAGGCTTATACGTAAAATTTGAATTGATAATAATGGGGAAAGATAATATAATCTTTGAGCTAAGAGCTGAGGAGGCTAATCAAATCATATTGTACTACATTACACTATAATCCGGATATGTATAGCTATCATCGGATATGAGAATATCATAATATTTTGGTTTTTATTACAAAACATAAAAAAACAAATTCCAAGCTTTTATCTTTACAAATACCAAAGTTTGTATTTTTACCAAATAGCATTTCCGATCGTTCAGTTATATCGACCGTACGATTCGTATAACCTGTACGAATCTGTACCAACTTTCTGTCTTAAAAATACGTCGGATGTAGTCGGCCGATCCTTATGATATTTGGTATGTTATATTGTTGTACATAAAATAGCGTTCATGCAAAATTCTAACTTTTTAAAAATATGTATCTCTAAAAACACCAAATGTATAGCATTTCCGATCAATCAGTTATATGGCAGCTTTAGGATAGAGTCGGCCGATCCTGGCCGTTCCGTCTTATGTACTGCGGTGAAAGATCGGTGTGTGCAAAGCTTCAAGTCAATAGCTTTAGAGACTAGCTTGCGTAGAAAGAAGGACAGAAGGACAGACCAATTTTGACCAAAATTATAAAACTCTCTGCAAGGGTACCCTCTGCCAATAATAGCTTCTAGGGTGACACTTAGACCGATCATATGATCTGAATAATATAATACTGTAATACTGTGTAATACTGTACTGTTTTACGCCAGACCTTACGATATGGGTTAATACCTTCTAATACCTTCTAATATATTGTTAATGTTATGGTATTACCTTACTAAGATTTTCCTTTTCACTGATGGGTGGAGCGAATGACTGTTTTCAAAAATTTTAAAGAAAGAGGGTTGCATAGATATACTTGAGCGCGTCAGTGTAAGTGGTAGTACGCAACGTTCAAAACATTTTAAATAAGTATTCCATATATCAAAATCTTTTTAATATTATAAGAAGATGGGTTTCATATTTCATGTATTAGAAATTTTTTTAACTTTTTCATTTTTGGCAGACATTTTTACATGAAATAGGTGCCGTGCTTAACCACGCAATTGGTTGATCAGGCGCCTCTGAGTCTCCAGTTGCACGCGAAGTTTCTCTGTTCGGCGCTGCCTTCTGCGTTCACGGCGCTGTCGCTGACGAGCCAGACGCCGCCGGCGAGCGCGCCTTTTCCTCCTGGCCTCCGCATCTGAGCTCGAGGAGGACGATGGAGAGGAGGTGGTGGCACTAGAAGAGGAGGAAGTTGTGGTGGTGGCGCTTGACGAGGCTGTGGTGGTGGTGGTGGCCGTGGAGTCGGTGGTGGTTGTACTTGGATCCGCGGTGGAAGAGGCACCCGCCAGGTAGAAGCACCCGACCAACAAAAAGCATAGAGCGATCAAGAAACGCATTGTGATATGCTCTGTCTGGGATCTGAGCGCACTTTTATACCAAATTTTAAGCACCTTTTTTTTCTAAATTGTTTGCACAGTTGCTGGCAATGAATTCATGTAACTAGCTAAACGCTCTACAATTTTTTAGATCGTTTTGATGCATCAGTATTGCTCTGAATAATATTATTTGATTTATTTTCTAAAAAAGAGGCTTATATATAAAAAAAATCACTGTGGACTGAAGTCCACAATATGACGAATCACATGCCTTAAGAATGCGCGTGAAGTTACATATTTGATATAGGCGCAGAAATAAAAAAATTGTTGTGTGCAATACAAATATACCAAATGAAAGGTATTGAAAGGTAACAGTCTTTTAGTTTAGGAAAAATTTGCGTAAAAGTGAAATGATTTTGATTCACTAAATTGCAACCCTTGCAATTGCAAAAAAAATATTTTGATACATATTTATTCTTGATCAACATCAACAGCCGAGTTGACATAGCCAAGTCTGTCTTTCCGTATGAACGCATGGATCTCAGGTACTATCTACACCCGAAGTAAGCTTTCCTTTCATGTTATACCCGGTACTCGTAGAGTACATGGGTATATTGTAGTCGTGTGAATGTAGGTGACATAAAGAAGAATTCATATTTCTGTAGCGCCAGTACAGGAAAGTTTATTAAAAAAGTTTTTATGCCAAACTATTTCTATGGTTAAAATATAACTGAGAAATAAATTTCATCAAAATCGGACGGTTTTTGAAGGAGATATACCCACTTATATAACTTTTGTCATACAAACGTGCTAGGATTGAACGCGTGGATTTCGCAGACTATAAAAGATAGAACTTTCAGATTTGAACGTGGAATCGTTTGTGTCAAAAATTTGTCAAGCCCACTCCCAAACGCAAAAGTATGCAACAAAAATTTTTTGCAGAGAATCCATACCACTATAGGAAATTTGACCACTTTTTCTGGCCAAAAATAATATCTCAAGAACGAAACAAGATATTTAAGTTCTGATTTTTGATTTGAGTTCACATGGTCAATAGATTTAAAATTTAAAAAAAATGTGGGCGTGGCACCGCCCACTTTTTAAGAAACACATTCTAACTCAAAAACTATGCAAGATATTTAAATTTTGATTTTTGATTTGAGTTTATATGGTCAAAAGAACTCAGAAATGAAAAAATTGTGGGCGTGGCACCGCCCCCTACTTAAAAATAACATGCTAACTGTTCGGTTTTGCACTAGTCTCACAGCTAACAGATTCACATTCAAGGTGTTGAGGTTGCCTCCTTAAATTATGAATTTCTTCGAAAGTGCATAAAAGGGCATATTCATATTTCACTCATTTGAAGAAAATTAAGCAATCTACAACATGGACTAAATTACATTGTCCGACTCGGCCAGACTTGGTTTAAATCTCTTTTTAAAAATGTGATTTTTTTCTAAAAATTTCTTTTGCTAGACTACTAATATTTTCACTTTATTAAAAAGACAAAACAAGTTTTTTGGACACTTCACATATACGAACACATAATACAAACCACATTGAAAAGTATTCATTTCAAAACTTTTGATTTTGTCCATAAAATTTTCAGTATTCGCGTTTTTAAAATGGCACCAAAAAATCGTAAATTCTAAGCTCATGTAAATGTTAACATCAACAGCTGTTTTTAACAGCTGATTTCTTCGCAGTGGCGCCATCTATGAAAATTTCTGGTATGCAACATTAAAAATTAATCTATTTTGAATGATATGCAGTTAAAATTATTTTAATCTTTTAACTTTCAAAAAATGGTTTTTGGCCAGAAAAAGTGGTCAAATTTCCTATAGTGCATACCGTGAAAGCTTAAACTTTAAAGGTTAGTTAAATTGTGGGTGGAATAGCCGTCCTTTTTTGTTTAATTTTTTATTCTAATAAATGGGATTTACTACGATATTCTCAAAAGTATCGGCCAACTATATCCGATATTTCGCTATATATGCTATATTAACTGCAAAAGTGTACTAACTTTGGCTACGCCCGAAGTAAGCTTTCCTTTCTTGTTCTTTCTCGTAGAGTACATGGGTATATTGTAGTCGTGTGAATGTAGATGACATAAAGAAGGAATCATATTTCTGTAGAGCCACTACAGGAAATTTTATTGAAAAACTTTTTAGGCCAAACTATTTCTATGGTTAAAATATAACTGAGAAATAAATTTCATCCAAATCGGACGGTTTTTGGAGGAGATGTACCCACTTATACAACTTTTGCTATTCAAACTTTCTAAAATTGAACGCGTGGAGATCGCAGACTATAAAAGATAGGACATTCAGATTTGGAACGTGGAATCGTTGGTGTCAAAAATTTGCCATGCCCACTCCCAAACGCAAAAGTATGCAACCAAAATGTTGTGCAGAGTTAGTTAAATTGTGAATGGAAGAGATGACTACGGGGTATAATATAGTCGGCAAAATTGACTATAATCGTCCTTTCTCGTTTTTTAATTCAATTCAATTTAATAACGATCGATAAACTTATATAAATAATATACATTATAACACCGTCATAATTATCCCTGCAACTGTCGGATTAATCGACGCTGTCTCTCGAGTAGCTGCTCCATCCTGCGCCTTCGCTTTTCTTGGCGCTGTCTTCTTTCTTGGCGACGGCGACGCTCGCGAGCCAGCCGCCGGCGTCGTGCACGTCTACGGCGTTTTGCCTCCGCACCCGAGCTCGAGGAGGATGATGGAGACGAAGTGGTGGCACTAGAAGAGGAGGAAGTAGTGGTGGTGGCGCTTGACGAGGCTGTGGTGGTGGTGGTGGCCGTGGAGTCGGTGGTGGTTGTACTTGGATCCGCGGTGGAAGAGGCACCCGCCAGGTAGAAGCACCCGACCAACAAAAAGCATAGAGCGATCAAGAAGCGCATTGTGATATGCCCTGTCTGGGATCTGAGCGCTCTTTTATACCAAACTTTGAACAGAAACTCGTGTTCCACAAAAATTACCAGATGCGTTTGGTGTTTCCTGAATTGTTTGCACAGCTTCTTGAAAGATATAGAATTATATTTACACAATAGACGTTTTCTCGTCTGAGCTTGAATAAAAAATGTAAAAAAATTTTGCCCACATTGTTGCTTGTCAAGACCACTTTTAATTTTTTAGAAAACGGTACTTTCGGTATGAAGTTAAACATTTATTAATTAAAAAAAGTTTAATTTTAAAATGTACAATTTTTATGCCAAACGTCAAGTCTTGGAAATTTTTGATATAAAACAATTTGTAGAAAACAAAGGAATGCAAACGGTACTAAGAATGTAGCAGTTGACTTCAGTTCAATCGAGCTTCATGCATATTACACATACCTAAATTATTTTCATATGCGAAATAATTTAATATGAAACTGCCAATATATTAATTACTAAGTTTAAACTTTGCGAACATCTTTCTATAAAACCGGCTGGGATCGATTGACTATATCCAATTGACTGTTTTATAACCAGCTATATACATATGATTGTCGGAAAAGCCTCAACTTAGTGATTCTTAAGTTCAAAGGTTTAAACTTTCGATAGGTTTCGGTAGGATTTTTGGTCCACTAATCCTATCTACCGAATTTCATAAGGATTGTCCGACTGTATCCATATAACTGAACTAAACGATCGTAAATGCAATAAATAGATACAAGCTTGGGGCTTTTTATACCCTTGCAGAGGGTATTATAATTTTGGTCAAAAGTGTGCAACGCAGTGAGGGAGACATCTCCGACCCTATAAAGTATATATATTCTTGATCAGGATCACCTCCTGAGTTGATATGAGCATGTCCGTCTGTCCGTCTGTCTGTCCGTCTGTCTGTTTCTACGCAAACTAGTCTCTCAGTTTTGAAGCTATCGTCTTGAAACTTTGCACACACCCTTCTTTCCTTTGCACGCAGTATATAAGTCGGAACGGCCCGGATCGGCCGACTATATCCTATAGCTGCCATATAACTGATTGATCGGAAATGGTATAACTTTTGTGTTTTTGGAGTTAGAGAGTTCAAATTTGACATGAAAGCTATTTTTGGCAAAAAATTACGTCATGCCAAATTTCATTAGGATCGGCCGACTCTATCCTATAGCTGCCATATAACTGAACGATCGGAAATAGTATTTGGTAGAAATATCAACTTTCGCATATTTGAAGATAGAAGCTTGGGACTTTTTTTAGATTTTTTATTTTAGTTAAATGGTTTTATTATGATATTCTCATAAGGATCGGCCAACTGTATCCGATGTTTGCGATATATATCCGGTTTTAACTGCAAGGGTATATCAACTTCGGCTCCGCCCGAAGTTAGCTTTCCTTTCTTGTTTATTGTAATTCAATACAGGATCAGAAATCTTTGGATTTACGACATATATATTTTTATATAAACTGTTACTCAACTGCAGGATTATATCAACCAAATTCCAGTATCAACACACAGGTCGATGAACAAATTTATAGCCTAACTATAACATATACAATGCTTATGATTATGTCGAAGTGATGGTCAACGAAATTTTACGGTCTACATAATTCAATATATGCTAAAGTTTAATACATTTATTCTATTAGGTGTTCCGCGGAAACTGTGGGTGATAGGACCTATGGTATGTATGTTTTGGCCTTTGGTTCAGGGGAGCACAAACTAAGCCCACGGAGCCGAAACTTAAATAAATTAATTTCAAGAAAGTGTTTGGTTATTTCTATTTTTTAAGCCATTTTTTACGCAAAAACATAAAAGAATAAATTGAAAATCGAATGTGTGTATGTATATAAATAGTTATTTGCATACATAACGTTAAGCTGTATTTGTCAAACCTTTATCTCTTGATAATGCGAATTACCTCAGGTTTACTATAAGTAATTTCCTAAAATTTGTTTCTCTAAACAGCTATTCTCAAAAAGTAAAACAAATAAAAAATAGTTAAAACCATTTAAAACAAAATATGTTGCTATGTGGTGAACACAAATGTTTTTCTTAATATTTACAGGTTTGGTTTTAAGGTGCAATAGGACACCGGCACCGTGATATTTTCTAAAACCTTTCTTCGATTTAAAAAGAAAATACACTCTGAATTTGTTAAAAGAATTTGGTTTGTTGTATTTAAACTTATAATAACTTAAAAACTTTTTTCCTTTAAGCTGATGTGCTCAAGATATGGGTTCAGTGCCTAGCCACGCAACTGGTTGATCAGGCGCCTCTGAGTCTCCAGTTGCACACGGAGTTTCTCTGTTCGGCGCTGCCTTCTGCGTTCACGGCGCTGTCGCTGACGAGCCAGACGCCGCCGGCGAGCGCGCCTTTTCCTCCTGGCCTCCGCATCTGAGCTCGAGGAGGACGATGGAGAGGAGGTGGTGGCACTAGAAGAGGAGGAAGTTGTGGTGGTGACGCTTGACGAGGCTGTGGTGGTGGTGGTGGCCGTGGAGTCGGTGGTGGTTGTACTCGGATCCGCGGAGGAAGAGGCACCCGCCAAATACAAGCACCCGACTAACAGGAAGCATATAGCGATCAAGAAGCGCATTGTGATATGCCCTGCCTGGGAGCTGACCGCCTTTTTATACGAAATTCTGACCCAAAACCTGCAAATCGTTTACGACATGTACACACTTATGTACATACATACCAGGTGAGGTTGGGTTTTTTGTGAATTGTTTGTACAGCGTCTTGACTGACCTTGTATTTATCCAAACGCTAAAAGTGTTTCATATGTACATACATATGTCAATGGATTAAAGACTCTAATGTATTATTGTATTTTAGAAGAAACATGCATTTCATTAAATTTTCGTAAATACAATAAATCATTGTACGTGTGTATATTAAATTAAGGTACCTTTAACGTAATTATATATTCCTCTAGCAGGAAGCCTTCATATTCCATCAGTAACATAATTTTGCAATCCTTGACCCATGTAACTTATGTTCTTTACTCATTATTATTTTGCGTAATAATTCTTGAAAACAAGTTAGCTTAAATTTTAAACATAACAATCTAACTGGTTAAAGACGTTAATATGTACATACACATATGTTTAATCAACGTATTTGATCTTTACTTTGATCAAACGTCGTTCTGTTGTGAAAATATTATTTATACAGATTGATTTATAATCCGCTAGATATGTGGAAATTCCCGGTAATGGTAATGGTAATGGTTTCTACTTTGGGGTATATAAGCGAGCAAGATTGATTAAACTTATAAGAAAAAATTCTAATGCGCTTTTCGTTGGTGCTTCTTTTGGGCGTACTCGCCTGCCTCCTGCTTGCCCAGCAGGGATACGGTGCTAGCTCTTCGGATAGTTCCTCAGATAGCTCCTCAGATAGCTCCTCGGACAGCTCCACAGACTCTTCCACTGCCGCGTCCTCCTCGTCTGATACCACGGCAGCCTCATCCGATACAGACTCCACAACTACAACCACAGCCTCGTCCTCGTCCTCATCCTCCAGCGCCGCTGCAAAGCGAAGGGCCGCCGCCCGTCGTCGCCGAAGATTGGCCCGAGAGCGCCGTAAGCGTCAGCAGCGCCGAAAACGTCGCCGCCAGCAGCAGCGCAGAAGGCGCCAGCAAAGACGGCGCAGGAACCGTAGGGGTTAGGATCGTTTACATAGAGTACAAAGTTTCCAATGTTCTCAATTACCCCTCGGACTGTATACTAAATTCAAAAAGTTTGTTGTATAAAAATGTGAGACACAAAAACCAAAAACATAAAAAACGGCTAGTTGACCCACTGACGATACCCAGTACTCATGTCTATCCTATCGAACCTTTTCTCTTACAAAGGATGTTTTTAATTAATGTAACCTTTCAAGGTCTAAAATCTAGATCGTCAAAATAAAATGTTCTTGCATACTTTTGTGTCTTTTGACTCTGTAACTCAATCCAGTGGGGAAGTTGAATAGAAATTCTTTACTAAGAAGCCTCTAAAATGCTGATGACCGAATGCTGATGGATGGCAGAATTTTGTTTTTCACATATAAACTGCAATATAAACTCGGCCCGAAAAACAACCTGATGTTAAATATTCTGAATGTCCGTATTGTCATGCGCTCAAATCTAAAAATGAGCCAGTTGGGATGGGTTGCTCATCAGGAAAAGTACAACTACCCGATATTGAAACACCATCTGTACCATTGAGAGTCTACCCTGTTCCTTAAAGTCAATTCGTTTTTATTTTTATTTAATTCGAATGACATCGTTTTTACTTAACACAGATATGAATCGTGAACTACAGTACGATACTGTAGAAATGACAGGCGTTGTTAGTAGCAATGTTCCACTACTTAATGATAGTGCAATGAACTTAATGAACAAAAAATTATTTACGACCGCATTATGTTTGCAGATGCGACACAAGGAGGATTTTTTTTCATGCACGAGGTGGAATTGGCAAAACATTCCTTATGTTGCTACTTCTAGCCGAGATACGATCAAAAAATGCAAGTTGAAAAAGTACAACTGACGAAGAATATGCGCATTCAAATGCTTCGGGATAAATCCGCTGAAACTTTCTCTAAACAACTGTTATATATTGGCGATGGATGTATGTATGTACTGGAAACACTGGCAAATATTTATTAACCAAAATAAATGAAAAAAAAACAAGAAAGGAAAGCTAACTTCGGGCGGAGCCGAAGTTTATATACCCTTGCAGTTAAAACCGGATATATATCGCAAACATCGGATATAGTTGGCCGATCCTTATGGGAATAGGAATATATAATCCAATTTATTACAATACAAAATCTAAAAAAAGTCCCCAACTTCTATCTTCAAAAATACGAAAGTTGATATTTCTACCAAATACCATTTCCGATCGTTCAGTTATATGGCAGCTATGGGATATAGTCGGCCGATCCTAATGAAATTTGATAGGTTGGATCAATTGACCAAAAATAGAATCTGTATTAAATTCCAGCTTTCTATCTTCAAAAACACGAAAGTTGGGTCATTTCCGATCGTTCAGTTATATGGCAGCTACAGGATATAGTCGGCCGATCCTTAGGAAATTTGGCATGACGTAATGTTTTGCCAAAAATAGCTCTCATGTCAAATTTGAACTCTCTAACTCTAAAAACACCAAAGTTATACCATTTCCGATCAATCAGTTATATGGCAGCTATAGGATATAGTCGGCCGATCCGGGCCGTTCCGACTTATATACTGCGTGCAAAGGAAAGAAGGGTGTGTGCAAAGTTTCAAGACGATAGCTTCAAAACTGAGAGACTAGTTTGCGTAGAAACAGACAGACGGACAGACGGTCAGACGGACATGCTCATATCAACTCAGGAGGTGATCCTGATCAAGAATATATATACTTTATAGGGTCGGAGAAGTCTCCTTCACTGCGTTGCACACTTTTGGACAAAATTATAATACCCTCTGCAAGGGTATAAAAACAACTTCTAATACAAATTTAAAACAAGAAAGGAAAGCTAACTGCGGGCGGAGCCGAAGTTTATATACCCTTGCAGTTAAAACCGGATATATATCGCAAACATCGGATACAGTTGGCCGATCCTTATGAGAATATCATAATAAAACCAATTAAGTAAAATAAAAAATCTAAAAAAAGTCCCAAACTTCTATCTTCAAAAATACGAAAGTTGATATTTCTACCAAATACCATTTCCGATCGTTCAGTTGTATGGCAGCTATGGGATATAGTCGGCCGATCCTAATGAAATTTGGCATGACGTAATGTTTTGCCAAAAAAAAGCTCTCATGTCAAATTTGAACTCTCTAACTCTAAAAACACCAAAGTTATACCATTTCCGATCAATCAGTTATATGGCAGCTATAGGATATAGTCGGCCGATCCGGGCCGTTCCGACTTATATACTGCGTGCAAAGGAAAGAAGGGTGTGTGCAAAGTTTCAAGACGATAGCTTTAAAACTGAGAGACTAGTTCGCGTAGAAACAGACAGACGGACAGACAGACGGACAGACAGACGGACAGACGGACAGACGGACATGCTTATATCAACTCAGGAGGTGATCCTGATCAAGAATATATATACTTTATAGGGTCGGAGATGTCTCCTTCACTGCGTTGCACACTTTTGGACAAAATTATAATACCCTCTGCAAGGGTATAACAAGAAAGGAAAGCTAACTTCGGGCGGAGCCGAAGTTGATATACCCTTGCAGTTAAAACCGGATATATATCGCAAACATCGGATACAGTTGGCCGATCCTTATGAGAATATCATAATAAAACCAATTAACTAAAATAAAAAATCTAAAAAAAGTCCCAAGCTTCTATCTTCAAATATGCGAAAGTTGATATTTCTACCAAATACTATTTCCGATCGTTCAGTTATATGGCAGCTATAGGATAGAGTCTTAATTTGTATATTAACTTCAATTTTTAGCTTCAATTTTAAACATAACAATCTAACTGGTTAAAGACGTTAATATGTACATACACATATGTTTAATCAACGTATTTGATCTTTACTTTGATCAAACGTCGTTCTGTTGTGAAAATATTATTTATACAGATTGATTTATAATCCGCTAGATATGTGGAAATTCCCGGTAATGGTAATGGTAATGGTTTCTACTTTGGGGTATATAAGCGAGCAAGATTGATTAAAGTTATAAGAAAAAATTCTAATGCGCTTTTCGTTGGTGCTTCTTTTGGGCGTACTCGCCTGCCTCCTGCTTGCCCAGCAGGGATACGGTGCTAGCTCTTCGGATAGTTCCTCAGATAGCTCCTCAGATAGCTCCTCGGACAGCTCCACAGACTCTTCCACTGCCGCGTCCTCCTCGTCTGATACCACGGCAGCCTCATCCGATACAGACTCCACAACTACAACCACAGCCTCGTCCTCGTCCTCATCCTCCAGCGCCGCTGCAAAGCGAAGGGCCGCCGCCCGTCGTCGCCGAAGATTGGCCCGAGAGCGCCGTAAGCGTCAGCAGCGCCGAAAACGTCGCCGCCAGCAGCAGCGCAGAAGGCGCCAGCAAAGACGGCGCAGGAACCGTAGGGGTTAGGATCGTTTACATAGAGTACAAAGTTTCCAATGTTCTCAATTACCCCTCGGACTGTATACTAAATTCAAAAAGTTTGTTGTATAAAAATGTGAGACACAAAAACCAAAAACATAAAAAACGGCTAGTTGACCCACTGACGATACCCAGTACTCATGTCTATCCTATCGAACCTTTTCTCTTACAAAGGATGTTTTTAATTAATGTAACCTTTCAAGGTCTAAAATCTAGATCGTCAAAATAAAATGTTCTTGCATACTTTTGTGTCTTTTGACTCTGTAACTCAATCCAGTGGGGAAGTTGAATAGAAATTCTTTACTAAGAAGCCTCTAAAATGCTGATGACCGAATGCTGATGGATGGCAGAATTTTGTTTTTCACATATACACTGCAATATAAACTCGGCCCGAAAAACAACCTGATGTTAAATATTCTGAATGTCCGTATTGTCATGCGCTCAAATCTAAAAATGAGCCAGTTGGGATGGGTTGCTCATCAGGAAAAGTACAACTACCCGATATTGAAACACCATCTGTACCATTGAGAGTCTACCCTGTTCCTTAAAGTCAATTCGTTTTTATTTTTATTTAATTCGAATGACATCGTTTTTACTTAACACAGATATGAATCGTGAACTACAGTACGATACTGTAGAAATGACAGGCGTTGTTAGTAGCAATGTTCCACTACTTAATGATAGTGCAATGAACTTAATGAACAAAAAATTATTTACGACCGCATTATGTTTGCAGATGCGACACAAGGAGGATTTTTTTTTCATGCACGAGGTGGAATTGGCAAAACATTCCTTATGTTGCTACTTCTAGCCGAGATACGATCAAAAAATGAAAGTTGAAAAAGTACAACTGACGAAGAATATGCGCATTCAAATGCTTCGGGATCCATCCGCTGAAACTTTCTCTAAACAACTGTTATATATTGGCGATGGATGTATGTATGTACTGGAAACAATGGCAAATATTTATTAACCAAAATAAATGAAAAAAAAACAAGAAAGGAAAGCTAACTTCGGGCGGAGCCGAAGTTGATATACCCTTGCAGTTAAAACCGGATATATATCGCAAACATCGGATACAGTTGGCCGATCCTTATGAGAATATCATAATAAAACCAATTAACTAAAATAAAAAATCTAAAAAAAGTCCCAAGCTTCTATCTTCAAATATGCGAAAGTTGATATTTCTACCAAATACTATTTCCGATCGTTCAGTTATATGGCAGCTATAGGATAGAGTCGGCCGATCCTAATGAAATTTGGTAGGTTGGATCAACTGACCAAAAATAGAATCTGTATTAAATTCCAGCTTTTTATCTTCAAAAACACGAAAGTTGGGTCATTTCCGATCGTTCAGTTATATGGCAGCTATAGGATATAATCGGCCGATCCTTATGAAATTTGGCACGACGTAATTTTTTGCCAAAAATAGCTCTCATGTCAAATTTGAACTCTCTAACTCTAAAAACACAAAAGTTATACCATTTCCGATCAATCAGTTATATGGCAGCTATAGGATATAGTCGGCCGATCCGGGCCGTTCCGACTTATATACTGCGTGCAAAGGAAAGAAGGGTGTGTGCAAAGTTTCAAGACGATAGCTTCAAAACTGAGAGACTAGTTTGCGTAGAAACAGACAGACGGACAGACGGTCAGACGGACATGCTCATATCAACTCAGGAGGTGATCCTGATCAAGAATATATATACTTTATAGGGTCGGAGAAGTCTCCTTCACTGCGTTGCACACTTTTGGACAAAATTATAATACCCTCTGCAAGGGTATAAAAACAACTTCTAATACAAATTTAAAACAAGAAAGGAAAGCTAACTGCGGGCGGAGCCGAAGTTTATATACCCTTGCAGTTAAAACCGGATATATATCGCAAACATCGGATACAGTTGGCCGATCCTTATGAGAATATCATAATAAAACCAATTAAGTAAAATAAAAAATCTAAAAAAAGTCCCAAACTTCTATCTTCAAAAATACGAAAGTTGATATTTCTACCAAATACCATTTCCGATCGTTCAGTTGTATGGCAGCTATGGGATATAGTCGGCCGATCCTAATGAAATTTGGTAGGTTGGATCAACTGACCAAAAATAGAATCTGTATTAAATTCCAGCTTTTTATCTTCAAAAACACGAAAGTTGGGTCATTTCCGATCGTTCAGTTATATGGCAGCTATAGGATATAATCGGCCGATCCTTATGAAATTTGGCATGACGTAATTTTTTGCCAAAAATAGCTCTCATGTCAAATTTGAACTCTCTAACTCTAAAAACACAAAAGTTATACCATTTCCAAACAATCAGTTATATGGCAGCTATAGGATATAGTCGGCCGATCCGGGCCGTTCCGACTTATATACTGCGTGCAAAGGAAAGAAGGGTGTGTGCAAAGTTTCAAGTCGATAGCTTTAAAACTGAGAGACTAGTTCGCGTAGAAACAGACAGACGGACAGACAGACATGAAATTCGGCGGTCACCAAGCGTGTCTTTTGAAAAATCGATTGTGGCACGAGCTGTGTGACATGTTGCGCCGTCTTGTTGGAAGTTCCTGCAAATCAGGGCTGTTCAATTAAGAATGAAAAAGTTAGTAATGGCTCACACCGATCACCATTGACTGTAACGTTCTGACCATCATCGTTTTTGAAGAAGTACGGACCAATGATTCCACCAAACAGTTTTTATACCCTTTCAGAGGGTATTATAAATTTGGTCAAAAGTGTGCAACGCAGTGAAGGAGACATCTCCGAACCTATAAAGTATATATATTCATGATCAGGATCACCTCCTGTGTTGATATGAGCATGTCCGTCTGTCCGTCTGTCTGTCTGTTTCTACGCGAACTAGTCTCTCAGTTTTAAAGCTATCAACTTGAAACTTTGCACACAACCTTCTTTCATTTGCACGCAGTATATAAGTCGGAACGACGGGGATCGGCCGACTATATCCTATTGCTGCCATATAACTGATTGATCGGAAATGGTATTACTTCGGTGTTTTTAGAGTTAGAGAGTTCAAATTACACGAGCGCTATTTTTGGCAAAACATTACGACATGCTAAATTTCATAACGATCAACCGACTATATCTTATAGCTGCAATATAACTGAACGATCGGAAATGGTTTTTGGTAGAAATACCAACTTTGGTATTTTTGAAGATAGAAGCTTGAGACTTTTTTTAGATTTTGTATTGTAATAAATTTGATTAAGGATCGGCCAACTATATCCGATGTTTGCGATATATATCCGGTTTTAACTGCAAGGGTATATGAACTTCGGCTCCGCCCGAAGTTAGCTTTCCTTTCTTGTTTTTTGACATACATAAACTTGAGGGTTAGCTTCACTCCAAATGCGGCAGTTTTGTTTGTTGACGTAGCCTTTCAACCAGAAGTGCGCTTCATCGCTACACAAAATTCGCTGATGAAAATTGGGAACAACAATCGACGAATCTACGCCTGGCTTGATGATCGTTTGGCTCCCATTCTTCCACGAGTTGGATTTCGTAAGCATGCGTAAGGTGTCCTTGCTCGGATGGACGATTTTGTCGACAATAAAATGGACCTAGTGCGCGATACGTATTCCGCACGGAACCATTATATTCGAAATAAAATGGCTCTATTTGCAAGCGTTGTTTAGGCGTGAGACTATTCATGATAACTTGTTAAACCATACTGAGAGTAAATCACTTCGCAGCTGTTAAATCGGTCAGTAAATCTTGAACAGTAATGCCAACTTAAAGTTGTTCTATACCTCTAAAAAAAATGCGTGAATTTTAAAGACTATAAGAGAAAGAACTCTCAGATTTGGAAATTGGGATCGTATGATATTCGCGCAGATCAAGTTTATATCAAATTTTGCCACGCCCACTCCCGCTTCCAATACAAAAATCTGGTTTCAGCGTCAGTTTGTTAATGTTTTTGGATGTTTTGATACCGAACTGTTGCAACGACTTATCTACATCTTCAAATTAAAAAGCAACCATCGGATAATTTTTAGAGGAGTTATAGCCTTTTTATGGCCGTAGGTTTGTTGTTGTTTGTTTTGCCTAAGTATGCAACTAAAATGTATTGCTGAGAATCCATAACGTTAAAGTTTAAACTATAAATATTAGGTAAAAGGTGGAAAGAACATATATTTAAAAGGTATTAGATTATAATAATTATTGTTGCCTCTTGGTGCATTTTTAAATACATACTACATGAATATGATTGTAACTAATATTTTCTAAGCACGTCCGTCTATCTGTCTGTTTCTACGCGAACTAGTCACTGAGTTTTAAAGCTATCGACTTCAAACTTTGAATATACCCTTCTTTCCTTTGCACGCAGAACATACTGCACTTATATAGTGATTGATCGAAAATGCCATAATTTTGGTGCTTTAAGTGTTAGAGAGTTCGGATTTTATTCCATTTTTGACAAAATATAACGACATACCAAATTTTACACAGATCGACTATATCCTACACCTGCCATATAACTGAAAGATCGAAAATGTCCCAACTTTCGTGTTTTAGAGATAAAACTTTTGAACTTTCTGCAGATTATATTTTTTGCCAACCTACCAAATTTTATTTCTCGGCAGTCTGGGCAGGATCGGCAGTCTATATCCTTTAGTAAAAATTTTGTAAAAATACAAACTTTGGTATTTTTAAGGATAGAAGCTTGGTTTTTTTTTTTAAATTTTGTATTGTAATAAATTGGTTTTATAATAACATTTTCATAACGATCGGAAAATTATATCCAATATTTGTTATTTATATCCTTCCTTGGTTTTATTTATATATTTATAAATGAACATTGTACATAAATATATACTAATGTATTTAATAAACATCGTTTTTTTCTTTGAGCTTCTATTAGTACGTAAGTAGTTTGGTTTTAAAGAACGTATAAAGCACCAAAACCCTATTCAAAAATGTATTTGTTTTATTATTATTTGTAAACTTGGGTTATAACATATAGAAAAAGATTGATAATTATTATTAAGGCCACAACATAAACCTCAATAGAGAATAGCAAATTAGAAATGATTCTCAAAAAATTGAGGAAGTTGCATGGTGCTATACTGGTGTCTTATGCCTCAAACCATTTAGAAATCAAATCCTTGAAAGCAGAGCCAGCTTTATGACCCCACAAGCCTGTGAAGCATTTTGCACGCATCGCTGGAGTTCTGAAACTCCAATTGGCACAAAGGCAGTTGTCCAGGAGGGACAGACAGGAAGCCCTCCG